GCGAAACGAAAATAGAGCCTGATCTCAGGTTAGCCCGCACTCTTCTATCTGGATGCCTGGAACAGGCTAGAGGCTGGTCGTTTATTAACTGCGAGGGGTGTTAAATGAAGGATGATCATCGCAGTTTATATGCGCAACTTTTGCAGTTGCGAAAAGAAAGCCTGAAAAAAAGTCAGCCTTGTACGGGATTCCAACCCTTGACCTCTGCAATGCCGGTGCAGCGCTCTACCAGTTAAGCTAACAAGCCAACTGGGAGCAGGTCGTTGAATTGGTTTCGCAACTGCAAAAGTTGCGTATATGGCTTCGATGATCATCCTTTATTTGATTCTTCACTCCGCAGTTCACATATATGATTTTCACATATTCATAACATAACTGTGAGGGGTGCAGCCATTTTGCTGAACAATATGAAACAGCAAACTGATCCTTACGGCAAGGCGATGAAGAAGTAAACAAAAGAAGAAAACAAAAAAAAAATTTAAACATTTATATTTTTGGTTTTATTCTTTTGTACTGATCCAGGTCTACAACTGGAAGATTTCCGCACCACTCATTGGTTTGTTGCTGTGGACTTCCTGACATTTTATATATTTTGCTGAACGATGGGGCATTTTCAGGATCAATTTAGATTTCCGGGAAACTGCCCACCTACCCCTCCCATAAGAAAACATCAACACTCACTTCTCACTCACAGCAAAATAATGGCTAAGGAGAGGGGTAGGTGGGCAGTTTTCCAAGAACCTAAATTGATCCCATTTTCAAAATCTTGATTGGTTTTTGGTAGCTCCTGTTTTTGGGGATCATTTTCAGATAAGGGGTTTACCTTAGCCTGCGGGGAGCGGACTCTTTTTTCGGCTCTTGTTTCGCACGCCGAAAAAATAGCTTTTTTCTCAGCGGCCGAAACAAGAGCCGAAAAAATCGTCTGCTCCCCCCAGGCTAGTGAACATACCTATTTATAGTACCTATTTACCGCTATTTCCTTCAACTGGAAATACAACGAGTTAACAATATCGCACGGACAGACGCACTTTAGCCTGGTACTAAGCTCCGCATTGGGGGAAAGAGGAGAAAAAAATCGGCGTGGGCGAAAAAAAATCGGCGAGCGAAGCGAGCGGAGAGGTAGTCTGGGGAGGGTAAAGGGTGGCGGAGCCTGGACTGCTGGAGACATTGTTTGTGAAGAATAAGGATGGAGGGGAGGGTGGGGCTTATTAACTTTCCTCCTCTGGAAAGGGGGCGCTTATTTGAGAGGCGGGCTCAAAAGAGGATTTAAGGTAACTTCATCATTGTATGTAAGACCCTGAAGAAGAAAGGCGGTGCCTTCCGAAATATTAGTAAAATATATATATATATTCCCGACTGTAAAGTCAGCCCGCGTGCTTCTTTTGTTAAGTGTTACCTATACCTTGGAGGTCATTTAAATATATTTCATGAAAGCAGCAAAGCAGTGACAAGACTCCCACAACTGGGGTTCATTGGTCTGCTGACAGCGCGTTTTTAAGCCGGGGCTATAAAGTAACTTCTACCGTTATGAATAAGCAAGTTAGCTTTTTGAAACAAGAAACGATTGGCATTATTTTCAACGCTTAACGACCATGACCCGTTCCCTCCCCGCAAAAAATCGGCGCCCTTGAAGTGGGAATGGGACACGCAAGGCCTTCTGTGAGTTCCGTCTGTCATTTGTCTTTTTTCGACATAGATGGAAGGTATTTCTTGAATGGGTATTGCTCTCACTAGCCTGCGGACACAGACGTATTTCCGGTCGTCGCTGATCTCTCCACCCGAAAAGTAACGGATGGAGGGAAGCGACAACCGGAGATGCGTCTGTGTCCTCAGGCTATGCCCTCACGGGCAGCCCAATAACAAGTGTGAACTGAAATATTTAATGTAATAGCCCTGAATAGTGCCAATCTTATCTTAAACGCGACTGTAGATAACAGGCGGCTGAAATGTCAAACTATCAGGGAAAAAAACATTCTAGTAGCATTTTTCTACCTTCATGGTCAGTACCATAAAAGTTCCAGTAGAGAGTTTTCTACGCGACCTACATTACACAGGTGATAATCGAACTATCCCTTTTTATCGTCTATTCATTGATTCATTGATTCATTGATTCATTCATCCATTCATTGCCAACAGGCTTTAAGACAGCGTTGGAAGTTCACAATTATTCGACCTAATGGCATCCCTACTTAAAGCTCAAGAAAAGTTTTGCACACTCCTTAAACGCCCGGTCAAGGCGCCGTACTTCACATCAGCCGAAGCGAATTAAATTCCAAAAAGCGAGGTAGAAAATTCAATGATCCACGCCCTCTCTGTTCTCTGGTTAACGCCCATCTATAGTTCTCGAGCACTTTAACAGTGAAAGGGGTAGGCTTGTATGAAATGGGTGGCTGTATTCGTAAGCTAATACTGAGGGTATTAGGGGAAAGGGAACGAAAAAACTCATGAACAGTTTTGGTAAGCAAAACAAGAACGCTCCACATGTATCAAGTTTTTCACTGTACTTCTGTCCCCCAAGAATTCAAATGGCCAGCTTTTTTCTGTTTTCTAAAGAATGTAAACGGTAAGGCGATACATTTTACTGTTGCATCGTAAGGTATCATCACACCAATTTAAAGGCAGGCACTCTCGATAAAAGCAATATGGCTAAGAGCCCATGACCCTGATGTGGCCATATTACTTCCTTCTCCAAAAAAAGAGAGCCACAGCTGAGGAAACCTGCTTCATTACATATTGCACACGGTTTGGCTAACCTCAACAAGAATTGTTAGAGAAATTGCAATAAATTTGGTCAGCAAAACTCTAAGGTTATTAAAACAGAAAAAATATATCAAGTTAAACAGTCTAACTCCAAAGGGACTTACACCAGTTATATGGTGAACTATTCTGGATATTATTCAAGAGAAACACTACAATAACGAGTTTTACACTAGTGTTTAAATGCTGTACATAAAATCCTTTCTCAGCTTAAACCAGTGTTCGTCCTAGGTTAACAGGTTAGAATCCAAGAAAAACTTGACTTATCCGTAATAATTCGGATACTAGTTTAACCTGTGAAAGGATTCTAACATGTACACAGATGAAAAAGCTTAACCTCGTCCCCAGCCCTTTTCCCTTGGAAAGTGGGAGGGCCAGGAAAAGTCATAAATGGCAAATTACGACTGGAAAAAAAAGTTTGAAATCGATCCGGTGAAAATACAGTGCTCAAAGGATTAAAGATGACAAGTCTATTTTAAACTGAGAAACTGAATAATGAAGTAGCATGTCACAATTCAAAACCATGATTAACTCTTCTTTAGGACATAAGCAATTAAACTGGAAAAGCTAAGAAAAACCTAAAATATTTTGCTACATAGCGAGCGTGAGCTGTCAACAAGTCGGTTATTAACACCCACGTCGTACGTTTATGTTCCTTACATTTGACTATTTCTATCACTCTTTTCTTTTGCTTGAAGACTATTTAACTACTTAAATATTAACAGGTAAATACCCTTGGAAAATGTCAAACAAACTTCAACAATTGCACAAAACACAGACGTTTGAACGTCCAGGGGAGTAGTGTATTTACAATTTTCCTAGAGCCGAGTCCATTTTTCCTTCGTCTACCTTCAATCGAGTTACTCCTGCGAGGAACAAAAAAACAAAACAAAAAACTGGCCTGTTAAATCGTTTATATTTATCTGATTTATGAAGCACATCTGACTAACTAACATTTTTTCAGTGACAATAAGGCCGTACACCATTCATTTTATTGACCCATGGAACTCCGAGTAAAACAAGTAATCCTCCAGTCAAACCTACTTAACAAGGCATTTATTAGCTACACAAACTTAATCATTACTTGCAGAACTCACCCGTACACTTATATTGTAAACATCGTACTAGTCAAAGCATCCAAAACATATTTCCAGGTCTCGAAGATTTCTAAGTAAATCATTGCATTGAAAGTGTACTACTGATACACCTTTACCTCGGGGTTTGTCAAATTTCTAGTTTAGTTTTAATCCGTTGCCATTACTTAGACTGAGAACAAGAAATGGAGCAATGAAGGTTCCCATAAAACGTACTTTTTTGCTTCATGAGCAAATAAGGACCAAATCACAACAGCTCTCATGAGGCGAAATGCTGTTTGCATAGGTATAGTACAGGCAGGATGTATTTTGTAAGATCAACTAAGTATAACCCCGTTAATACGGACACCGACGGGACATGCTATAGTACTAACGTACGGTCTACCTGTATACGCCTCATCAATACCTGAATTATCAACGATCCAGAATTTTCTACAGCGCTGTTTTAAACGCAAGTATACTTCGTACCAAATTGACATATATAACGTATTAGAAGACGTAGATCGCTCACTATTCAAGAAGATCTCCAGTATACCCAGTTCAGTTTAGTTCCAGTTCAGCGCGCCTTCAAGTTCCTGACAGTCAACTTCCTAGGGTTAATACCCAGCGTTTCGAAATAGTTTTTTTAACAGGCTATTTTTCAAATAAGAGTACCTATTTAATGTAATGCGGATCTTGAATGTTAAATTCAATGTTTCCACATGGAATTTTTTAAGCCGGCCTTGTAATTCCTTCTGCTATTTTTAATGTAAATGTTCTTGGTTTTAGCATGTATTTTTGCTTAAAAAACAATAAAGACCTTCCATTTGTTTTATTTATTTTTGAAGCTGGTTAATTTTAGAAAAAATATATGAGCTTTTTTTTTCGTCGGGACAAACGAAACTGTCCGTTATATACAGGTGTCCACATTAAGCGAGTGTCCGTAGAGCGGGGTTCCACTGTAATTAAGGCCATTTTCATTTCTTGGGTGTGTCTTTTGCTCTCATGACTTTACAGAATCGCCACCTGGTTAGCCTAGTTGGGAGAGCGCCGGTCTGCTGAGCGGGAGGTGGAGGGATTAATCCAGGCCGGACCAACACAACACTCAGGGTGTTTGAAAAACTCAGAGAAGAAAGTGCTGCCATGTAATGACGTACATGTTTCTAGTCTTCTCGAATAAGGACGAAAAAACGATTGCTTGTTGAACCAAGCTCGTTCGCAATTTTTCTCTCTGGAAATTGAGAGGGGCCACCTCTCCCAATTTTCTTAAGGAAAACCCTGGGAACCGGGCTGTTGTTGAAAATGGTGAAACATAGAATCTCAACTGACAAACTATGCACACGAATATGTTTTTTATATTTCTGCGTCAAAAGACTAACCTTCACTTTCTGAAATCAAACGTCACGTTGTCTCCAATCAGCATAAAAGGAGCCCACTCCCTCACTTCAGGGAAGCCGTTCTCTCGCATCCACTTCATAGCCTGGTGAAGAGATTCACTTGCACTTTCACCACACAGAAGGTGCTCGTAGAAACGTCCCATCAACTGCTCTGTTGCTTTGTCTTCTATGGCCCACAACGCCACCAACACTGAGCGTGCACCGGATCCTAGAAACGCTCGAGCAATTCCAACCACTCCCTCAGCTCTAATGTGTCCTTGTGCGCTGTGACAACAGCTTAAAACAACTAGTTTCGCCGTAAGTTTAACTTCGGAAACGTCAGCCGTTGTTAACACGAAATCGTCTTGACGCAAAGTTCTGTTGACAGGTCGCACTGGAGCAAGAACAATTTCTCCTCTTTCGGCATCACCATGTGCAGCAAAATGTATCAAACTTGCTGAATGCATCACTTCAAGTACCGCCTGCTTTGTTGCTTGACACCCTAACAATGGTTGAACACCCAACCATTCGGCGATCATTTTCGCTTCCTTTCTTGCAAAAGACAGTTGAGATAACCTAGGCCTCACATAGCTAACATCAGGATCACCGACTATCAGCACGCTCCTATCATTACACTGGGTTGCTGGTCTCTCCTGAATGAGCTTGAGAGTCGTCAAAGATGGAACAATGCGGATCCGGAAAGTCTCCGAAAGATACTTTCCATTTTCATCCTTTAACGCTGCGAATGGAATTTTGTACAAGGAACGATCAGGAACAATGAGAACTTCGGGTTCGTCGAGCAAGTCAGCCATTGGAGCGATGAAAATCTTGTAAAGTAGCTCAAGAGTTGGTGTCGGTTCTTCTTCTTGATGGTCTTCATCCAATTCAACAAGGCGGAGAGCTGCAACTATATCTTCCTGAGACGAGGAGCAAGCGACCAAAGGGAACATTGATCGATCCTCGCAATGCCCTTGAGGTAGCTTCTGACACCCTCTAAAGGGTGGGATTCTTAGAAAGGCGTTCAAATTTCCCACCGGTCCGATAGTCGAAACAGTTTCATTTCTTTTTACATGTCGGAAATGCACTGACTGTTTCTGATTCAAAATCCACAAATAAATATCCAGCACGACATATGATATGTATAGACAAGTAAAGTTACTTCCTTTCTTGATGATCCCCTCAATGCCCATCCATGATTGTGGATCCATTGTAATTTGCTTTCCAGCAAAATACTGAGTTGACATTAACTCTGTTAAAGCCCTGGCTCGTCCAAGCTCTAAAACGTACAATGCTTTAACATAATCTCCTCTCTTACAAAACAACTCACTGAGAGTTTGGTAGGGTTGGAAGTGTTTGTCTAAAAGAGACACCTTATGCGGGTCATGGTCCCCTAAAAAACCGCGCAAGTCCTCGCAGTGTTGGATGCTAGAAAAGAGATTCGAAATACTCTCCTCTGGGTTGCCTTCAAATATCATAATCCATGCTAGGTTGTAATGGCACGCAAACTGTTTTTCGAGATCCCCATTTTCTTTACTTATTTTAAGTGCTTTTTCAATATTCTCCTTAGCCTCGGCATATTCTTCAAGATGACAGTAAGTAGTTCCTAGGTTTATATAACAACGGGTTTCCGCATCCGTGCGTCCCGTTTCTTTCGCTATCAAAAGCGACTCCCTAAAGCATTGTACAGCCTTGGCATACTGACCATGGTGGCAGAAGAACAAGGCAAAATAGGAATGAGGCCCAGCCTGGCCTTCTCTGTCGCCGATTTCTTTTTGAATTGCAAGTGCTTTCTGCGCGAAATTTTTACCGGCAGCATACTCACCGACTGAGCAAGACACTTTTGCTTTGTATACGTAATCTTTTGCCTCTCCTTTTCTGTCTCCTATTTCTCTACTTATCAAAAGTGACTTGTCAATATATTCCACGGCCTTGTCATATTGTCCGAGTGCTTCAAATACAACCCCTAGGTCTCTATAGCATCTAGCTAGTTCCACTGATTTGTCACCAATTTCTTGTCGTATCTCAAGTGCCTTTTCGACATATTTCTTAACGTTATGGTATTCCCCGAGATAATGAAAGAGTGTCCCGAGGTGTCTGTAACACGTTGCTTCATCGTCTCTGTCACCAGTCTCTTGCTTGATGCGCAGTGCTTTCTCCAACAGTTCCTTTGCTTTCTCATATTCAAGGTGCTGATCATACAAAACTGCCAGCATAATGGCTACTGAGCCCACCTCATCACTAAATTCTCCAAATAGTTGGACCGTGCTCTCAAGAATTTTTTCGCCCCATTCAATTGCTCTTGTGTAATCATAAATATTACGATAAGCCTTGGAGATTGTAAAACATATGGAACGATAGAGTTCATGGAAGATTTTGCTATTTTCCCTCAGCACCGTGTTGTTCAGGAAAATGAGGCATTCTTCGGCTAACTGGATGCCTTTTATAACCCGATTGGTGTTGATAAGAAAATTCGCAACAGAAGTGCCTATAAAGAAGACTTGGAACGCTTGATTAACCTTCTGCTCTTTTCCCGCCATAAACATGTCTTCTGAAAGTCAAGTTAACGTAAAAATGTGTAAGTTTTGAACCTTTATTAACTTTATTAACATTCACTCCACAAAAATATAATTTATACAGCAAAATTACATCCTGTAAAGGGGAAACATCCAAAACTGATAGCTTAAGAGCCATGCTAGAGACGTTCCCGATGTAATAAAAAAGCTATATTACATGGAAGAGTAAAATTTAATAAATAACAATAGAGTAAAATATTCCACTAAAGCAGTTCTAAAACTATAATTACTGTTTCTCTCTCAGAAAAGAGAAAACCCTCTTCTTGAAAGTTGAAACAGTTTTAGCCTCCCTTCATTGACAATTTTACAATTGATTACAGGATATCGTTTTTATCGAGAAAGATTTTGAGCCGTTGTTACATCAATTTTTCAAATATCCTATTAAAAATAGACAACAATGAAATAGGCCGATAATTTTCGACTTCAGTTTCATCGTCACTTTCGTAGACACGAATAACCTTCGCTTGCTTTAATTTGGATGGAAAGACACCTTCTTGCACAGAGATGTTAGTAATGTTGGATAATGGGACAGAAATAATGTCTTATAGCTGGAATGTCTTTTATATATTACAATAAAGCTCAAAAAACATTTTAAAAACGCTCATTGCGAATTTTAAGAACAATTTTCATGTCGCAAACGCATGTTGCTCATACAAAGCCTTTGAGAAGAGTGAAGTTTGTCAGAGTCACGCGTGGGGTCTAAGGTGACAAAACCTATTTTTAAAGTCTACTTTGGTTTATCTATACCTGTATAAAAAATACTTTAGATCCAATACTAATATTCAAAAGAGTATTTACTCTCACGATAACAATATGGGTTATGTTCACCTTATGTCGGACCTAACCTGCGTGGCTGGCGGGATTCTTGTGTTCCTGGGCTTGGTTCCTTGGGAAAATTTTCCTTTTGCCCCACCCCCCCCCCCCATCACTTTTCTAATGGTCCATCCCTCAGACATATAGCCTGTGACATAAAGCATTGTGAAATCAACAACGGTCAAAGCGTCGACATCAACATCGTTTTCGCATCGTAAAACAGCTTCCATTTCGCATCGCACCGCAGCAGATTGAAGAATAGAACAAAACAGGTAAGATTTTATCTGTTATTTAATTCCATTCGCAGTTTACAAATAAGAGCGTAGGTTCCTATGGTTGCAACGAAACGTGGAATCGCCCAGAAGTGCAAAATGGACTCCCGCGAAGAAATAACTGAAGATGAAGAGGCGATATGATTGTGGGAAAAAGGCCCTCTTGGAGGATTTTCAGCTTAGTCATTGATGTATACTATTTATTTTTATAACGGTAAACGCTTTGGTCTTCGAACTGGCGAACACCCCCGGGGAGGGGGTACTCCCCTATAAAAATGACGGGAGTGCTCGTCGTACCTTTTAGGGGTTTAAATTTGTGCATTGGTACCGCTGCTAAAACCTTAAATGACTGCTGTCAGAGTTGTCTCGGTAAGATTTATGTCAATTCTCTCAAATATAATAGTCCTTGAGAAGATAGTGTTCAAAAGTTATCTTTACAGTCGACTCCCGATAACTCGAACCTTCAAGGGAAATTGAGAAAAGTTCGAATTATCGGGAGTTTGAAGCAGATAACCGGAAGTAAGGAAATAAGCAAATGGATAGGGAGGGAATGCAACTAAGCAACAAAGTATACAGGGATGGATACTGAATTTGAACTGAAGTGACAAAAAAGTAAAGACAAAGAATTGACTCTGTTGTTTTGAAATAAAGTCAATGTTTCGGACTTCAGTACTCGGTTTTCTTCCCCACTTGTCACGCACTTTATAGGGGAGTACCCCACGGGGCGAACATAGGCTCCGCAACATTTTAATATCAATAACTTTTGTTTTAATTCAGTATTTAACAACTGCACTAGGCTTTATCAATTTTTACTACGAGAAAAAGTAATATTTGCAAGCATGTAAACGTGTAGATTGTATGTAGACAACAGAAAAATGAAATTGTAAATGCAGCTTATTATTCCTTGTTACATAAAGACTAGTGATTGATATGCCAAACTAGTGACTGTTTAATCAACTTTGGACAAATTTACAGGAAACCTTTATATTAAAGTTAAACATACTAATCAGGGGAGTTAGAAATCTTTATAAAAATGAATCCTATTGATACTTTTACTAATTCATAATTCATCATGCCCTGCCTTTCCCTGCTACCTTTTCAAACCCTCCCCGTGCATTCAGACAGTTGATTTATATTGGGGTCTACAGCTGGGTTTACAGAGGTAAACATGTGACTCAAATACTGCCTATTGATTGGCCATAACTCTTATGAATGATCAATGAATTTTACAATATTTCTATGAGTTCTCATAAACACTTTTAACTAAGAAGATTCTTTTGTTTGGAATAATAAAATGGCATAACTCCAGGTTCTTCTTAAATTACATAATTGTCTACAAAATTCTCAAGAGGTGACTTTTCATGTTTGATTCCAACATTATACTCTTTCACCGCTCTTTCTAGAGCTTTTTAAAGTAACTTGGAATATCTTTTGGAATCTTTTAATTTTTAATACACTCTTCAAAATAATCATCAAATGTTTTTTATTTTGGTTTGGGCTTGGAAACAGGTTTTGATGATATCTTTGGTTTTCGTTTCTTAATATTTTTTCTTTGTTTCATTATCTTATCAATTTCTTCAATTATTAGTTGTTCTTTTTGTTCATTATAATCATTAAAATCCTTTTTCAGTTTACATTTTTTATTTTGTTTGATTTTTTTCAAATCTTCAATTAATAAGTTATAAAAATCCACAAAGCTCATGCTTTTATGAAATGATTACGAGACTGTCCAACCACCCCGATTTCGTCGGGCATTCTCCCGATTTTGCTTGAAAATCCCGAATCCCGACCAATATAGGATCGGGATGTAAAAAATCCCGATTTAGACATCTGTTCTGATATTTTCAAATTAACTCTTAAGACACACATACAAGTACACCTAACAGAGTATACTTAACTAAAGTTGATGTCCAGAAAACTTAAAAACCGCACGAAATATAAATTAAAATCGAGTACTTGTACGCGAAGACACGCGAATAATAATAAGCGAAAAAATGGCAATCGATTTGTGCGATTTAGTGAACATTTTAGACAAAATTGTCCACTTGGAAGACTGGAAATGGCTTTAAGAGCATCAAGATTTCAAAATTTTCTAGGGGAAAAAACCCGCAAGACCCCCCAAGCGGTTCACGATCGGCACTCGCGTGATTCGTCGGTGATTGAAAAATATCCCGATTTTACATACTCAAAAGGTTGGAAAGTCTGGATTAGATAATTTCTTTAAACTTCAAATTGTTTTCCTACAACGACTAACCGATTTATATATTCTAAACCACTCTCAACTTTAAATTAATCACGTAAAATCTTTACGTATTTGCGCATTTCGTTTGCGTCCGAGTGCCTATTTCATTTGCGTTTGAGTCAAAGACGGGAAAAACCCCTTTTCTAGAACATTCTGTAAATCATTTATTTAATAAATATTCAACAAAGAAAAAAATGACAGGTTGACAATAATGTTCAGCCTTCGGTCTATAATTTACGGAAAATGTTAAGCAGTTTGACTTATTTTAAACAGCCTAAATTTACGCCAGTTAGATATTAGTGACTCAAATTAACTCAAAAATGATATGTAAAGCAAAATGTTTTTAAAAGAAATTAAAATTTGGAAAATGACGGTGGAAGGATGACAGAAATAACTGAACAGAAACTAGAAATACGTGAATCGCAGAGTCGCGCGAAGCAGAAGTAGAAAGAAAGGGAAAGAAGCTGATAGGAAAAGAAAATATGTATATTTTAAAAAACAACAAAACAAGAACCAAAAAAAAAAAAGGAGAAAGAAAGAAAGGAAGGGTACTAAGTAGGATTCGAACCACACACCTTCGGCTCGACGCGACTTCACCTTACCACGTGGAACCTCGAATTAACGAACCTCTATAATATTTTCTTCAGCCCGGCCAAAATTATAATAAAATATATGGAACAGAACCTCGATTTAACGAAATCCTCGTTATAACGAAAACCATTCAGAAAAGAAAACGTAAAATATATCTCGATATAACGAATAAATGTCAACAGGTGACCAAAAGATAGCTAAAGATGAATGCGAAACAGACCAACGAGGATAAAACCTATGTGTACCGTAGTTTTAAGTCGTTTTTTTTGCCAGTTTTCTTGTGTTTCAAGTGCCGTAGCTAACTGCAAAACATATGTTTTCTTACCTCGATTTCCGCTGTTATTTTGAAGCTAATGGTCCATCTGTAAAACGTACTTCTACCTTCGAAATTTATCGCTAAAAGCATTTCTTGACCTCTGACGAAGGCTCTCGAACGCGAATGAACTTTTTCCCGTTTTTAATTAATTCGAAAGTAATAGCATTCATAAAAGTGAAAGTTTTAGTGAAAAGCTACCAGACTGTGAAATTTTCAGTGAAACGTTGTTTGTTTGTAAAATATTCAGTAAAAGAAGTCTTTGCATCGTTTAGAAAAGATTTAGTTTACGAAGTTACCAATCACTTGTTTTAATTTACAGAAGCTTTTGCGTAATCTTGAAAATTGCAGCGCTGTTTGGAAAGGAGTATAAAGTTTTCTATCTTACAATGTTGTACCTTGTCGTGTTTAATTTACTAATCCTTTAGGAAAGTGAAACTGACAAAATGCAAATTATTCACACTTTAATGTAAATATAGACAAAAGTGACAGCTGTCTGATTTTTAATTAGCTTTTTGACTTGTTACACGTACACAATTGGGTACAAAGAAAAATTACGCAAATAAGTAATTTAAAAGTGGAATTTTCTTTGAGCGGAAAAAATAAAATTGAAATTTAAAAAATTATCTAAACATACAATAAAGGTATGGTCTCTATTGATTTAAATAACTTATCAATTGAAGATTTAAAAAAATAAAAAAAGATAAAAAAACTAAATTGAAAAGAGAGTGTAATGAGT